TTGTGAATAAAAAAGTTTTTTTTTTTTTTTTTTTTTTTTTTTTTGCGGGTTTGTTTTTGTGTGTCCCCCCCCCCCCCTTTTTTTTTTTAAATAGAAGCAAAGCTTTCTTGCTGATAATTTGAAGATTACTTGAAAGCTCTGAAAGATCAAGCTGTCTCAGTTTAAAGATGCTACTTAGCAGAGGAATGCATTCCACCCATCTTTTCTGGGATTCTGGGAAGAGCAATAGAATGTCATGTTTCCCTCTTCACATTCTGACTTCTTCTCATTAACACCTCTACTCACAGTTTAAAATAATGCTGTGAATTACCTATTAACTGGCAGGGCTAAGGAGCATATGTATGTGCTGTCCTGCCATCTCACATCTGACAGATGGCAGAGCAGACAGTGGGAGGCAGTATCAAACTGCATCAGCTAAATCTGCAAGAATTACATCATATTCCCATCAAGGAAAAGTCATGCTCACGCTCTGTTTTTCTTCAGAATATTTCTTCATTTCAGCAACTGAGATATAAATCTGATACAGACTGAGACTGGCATATCAGAGTAATCACTATTTCAGAGAATTAAAAATAAAGCTAAAATATCTTTATGTTCCCCTTTTTAAAATTTTGCATGGACATCAAGCAACTAACAACCTCCAACCGTTGTTTAAAAACATATGGTGAAAATTTACAATAATCCATGGTCCTCCAAGAAAACAAACCTAGGAAGACTAGACTTGAAATTTAAAACTTGCTAAGGCTGTTAAGCAAACAGAAGAATAATCAGCCTTTTCTAGGCGAGAAAGTCTTAAGCTCTCGCTATAAAGAACAGCCGGGTCATGTAAGGTGTTTGGTAAAATGTTTTATATTTTTTATTTTTGGGAATATCAAGTGGAAAGAGTTAAAACCTAAAACCCGAATAATTTGTTCCATGAGCAATGGAACCAATGAAGCCTGATTTGATCTGTTTTGTGTTTTATATCCTTGACCAACAGAACACAAAACTGCTCAAATCAACGTGCAGCCTCTCTCAGTGAAAGCACAAACTTGAAACTCTCTTGTCTATTAAGCCATTGAAATTTAGGAAAATTTACAATGAATTAACACCAGTGAGACCTTTAACTTTCTGTCAAATGGCTGATCTTTTTCCTAACGTCTTAGTCTTTTGCCCAAACAGACAAGACACAAGCTGCAAAGCCTAATTCCCTCTAAGGCCAAATTCCCACAGAAGTACTAAGTAAACATAGCATAACTTAAAACACAACCCCTCCCCAGCTCCCCCCCAAACAAAACCCCACAACCCCCCCAAATTTATGAGCTTCAATTCTTTATGAAAACTGGTGCCAAAATTCTCTGTGCGCTGTTAGCACTGACAATACTGGACTCCAAAGGACATAACTTACGAGGATGGGAGAATAAAAAAGGAAAAGCAAACAGCCTGCATTTTTACCGCTTCCCAGACGTGTACTGTAACGGTAGTTATGCAGCCTGTTTTTCTGGTGGCCCATTCTGCATAACGCTGGAGAATATTTTCAAGCAAAAAGCATCAGAGATATCATTACACATTTTCTCCTCCCTTCTGCTGAGCAGCCCGAGTGAAGCCTGACATGAAGAGCTCTGAATGACAAGCTATATAATCTGAAAGTCTGCATCTTCTATAGTCATGTGAATAAAGCTATCCTAATAGCTAAATAGAGCCACAAGTAGTACACTTCTATTCACAGTAACATCTTATTCTAGACCAAAGATCAGAGTTAAAAAAAAAACAACCACCCACAAAACTCTCAAAGCAAAAAATCAACCTCCCCGTGTGTACAACTGAGTATGTAATTTCATTTGCATAATGCACGAAAGTTGCAGCTAAAACTGCTTCAGTTGCTGAAAATACCTAGTTATAAAATTAGGTCTGTTCCTATATATTATCAATTTTAAAAGTAATATTAGCCTACATGCTTCACAAAAATGTTAATTTACCATCTACAAGTACTTCATCATCACCACTACTAAGGAAGTTATTCTGAGCGCTACAGAAATAAGTAAGCCATATTTACACAAGCTTTTGATCTACTTCTTTCTCAGAACACTACAACCCTGGACCTCCACATCCAGTACAGCCCTAGCCTCCTCTCAGCTCTCTTCAATACCTTCTGGCTGGCCAGCGGGGGAAGTGAATATCCATATTCACGTTCACTTTCATAGTCCCACTTAAAACAGATACAATCCAGATACTACCCATCCTTTCCTGAGATGGAAAGTGGCATTAATTTGGGTCTGTATTCTACATAGCTAGCAATTCTCACAAAGTTCTACAAAACTAATATCCTAAGCGCCTGTGGTTCTGACAAACTAGTGCACAACAGAACATTCTCATAAAGCTCCGTTTTCTTCAAAAGCCAAGCTAAAAAAAAAAAGCATATATTCTAAATAAGAATCTGGAATAGATGCTTTTGATCAAAAAACCTAAATTTATCATTTACTTTTACAAGATTTATTCAGACATTTGACTACGTCTTATGGTTTTGAGAAGAGGTAATTTCCTGCTCTGAGGCTAATCAGTCCAACCTTACTATATTATATCTGAGATATGGAACTTGTTATAAAAATGTTTAATAGGAACATTTCCTTTCCCATCACATCTTTGCTGACAAATGTAAAAGGAATTTGAAGGACATGTCAGCTGGTTCTTTGAGGAAGAAAGGGAAGAAACTCTTGGATCCACTCTGGAGAATAAATAACATTAAATCAGTTTTAGAAATTAATTTTTCCTATCTCTTTTGAAAAGGAGCCTTATGATTAACATTAAGTAATTGAACTAAGCCACTAGATTAATATATAGCTTAAAGACAAGATCTTACTATAAATTAGCCCAGAACACTTGAAGCAAAAAAAGAAGGGTGAGAGTGGGGTTGACAGACATGACATGAGCACTACAATTATAAAGAATAAAGAAGAACCAGATGATAACGTAGATGCTTCTCCTGTCAAAGAGAAAGAAGATTTGAAGCTATTGAAAAGGAAAAATATTCTTATTATTAAATAGATAACTTGTAAAGTCATTGCCCTAAGTGTTTGGCCTAAATAATATGTTAACAAAACCAAACAAAGATTATACACACACACACATATATGCATGTGTATCTATATATACTCATACATAAATGAGTAACCTCCAAATTGTGATGATGAACAGAATAGCACAGTAAAGTCTTAATTCCTACGACAACTACCAACTCCACAAACTTTCTAAAGCAAAACCACTCTCAAATCTGAGTATTTCTTGATCACTCTCGCAATTTTACTGAAAACACTATTCCTTATTAATATAATTCAGTGGCAGTAGCAGCACATAACTTATCAATGTCTCTCGCAAGAGTCTTAAAGTACAAAAAGACATCAGATTTATTTTTCCTTAAAATCCACACAATCAACTCAAATCTACTGCTAGAACGCTAGCAAAAGTACACCTCAACCTACACATACATGCCTGAAAGAAAGAAGCTGATAATACTACTGGAGGAGGAACACAGTTGTTTGAGAACAGATGACCAAAAGAAATTTGTACCACAAAAGCAGCCTAAAAAAATTGCTATCTGAATTTAACCTCAAAATACTAGTCCAGGTGCCTTCACTGACAGTGTCTATCACAGCACTGTGTAAGTCCCATGCAAGGAAACCCCGCATCCTTTAGAACCTTGCACATAAAAAGCATTTTAAATTCACTGAAAGAATTGTCAAACAGGTGCTGGGAGCACGCAGCAAAACACTGGCAATTAAGATAGCAGCCAAATTCTGCACCAAGATTTATTAAACTGACTGAAATGCAGATTTTATTACCATTAGTTGCATCTGAAAGCGAAGAAAGTATATATTCTCCTCAGCCAAATGTATTCTGGCCATAACTGTTTGGTGGAGGAAGATAATGCAGGCACACAAGGCAAAAGTTGTGAAATTATGGGCAGTTAAGACTTCTTACACAGAGCAAACACTGATGTCTGACATAGATATTCAAGAACTCATCATAACTCCATTTTACTTAAATGAAGTCTCAGCAAGCTTCTTCTCTTTCATAACTCCCCTTTCATCAGTGTCAAGTATTCCAAAACAAGCAATCAATTAGCAAAAAACAGAGATATAAATAAGCTATCAAGACATGGGAAAAGCCATGATCCCACATCTCCTCATTAACCATCCTCAATGCTTTGTGTACATGTTTGACATCTACAGTTATATGCAATCCTCATATACTCAGAAGTTCTCATGAAAATAACTTCTGTATCAGTAAACACTTATGGCTGATTTAGATAACAAGCAATCTTCAGAATAAGCAACATCTTTCATACCATAAATCCTTAGAATCTTTGAAGAAGCTCCGAAGTCTCTGATTTGCAGGAGGATCTCAAAATTTGACTGAGTTCATATTTATGTTAAAGATGCACTGTTTACTCATCCCCCTGAAAATTCACCCCAAGCTATAAAGTCTTAGGAAAAACCATCATGTCACACACGGTCAAGAGCTTGTGGGCTTAGTAGTCAGCTTTTTTAGAAGATGCTTTCTGTTCTCAGTGTGCTGCAGACAACAGCTACAGACCTCAACCCAACTGCTACTCCAGGCAACTGGTGTCTAGTCACCACAACGAGAGCTGAAACACTCTTGTAGTTTCAGTCTCCTCCTCTGGAGTGGACTTAGGCATGACAGAAAAATAAACCAGGTCTAGCTGACTAGGATTTGGATAGTGAGCAGGAGAAACAACGCAGGTCTGAACAGTTCGCATAGCTTGTTCCAACAGAACCCTCATCTGCCATCCTGTGTACTAAATAACGTCTGACTCTCATTCTCACCACTGAATACAGAATAAAAACAATCGCTATACTGAATGGGAGTACATAAGATTAAGTGTTAAGCTTGCACAGGTGATCTTAATTCTAATCGTCTAAATTTTTTTCAAATTTTCAGTTTTGCAGTCTACATGTTTTTTTAACAGCTAGATGTATTTAACTTTCCTCCCTATTTTTATAAACACCTATTCTAAAAAAAGATTTGTGGGGGGAAAAAGCAACCCTCTTTTTTTCAAATACAAGATTTCATTTTTACCAACTTAAACCATAATTTACTTCTGCTTCATATATGTGTCTAGTTTCTATCTTACAAAGAAGAAGAATCAACACTGGCAATGGGATTTAAAAGCACTGCTACATTACCATTTTGCAGATGTGCAAACATAGTTGATCCTTCTTGAAGATTTCAGTAAGATTTCTTAAGATAAATTGATACAGCTAAAGAACCAACTGTGAACTAAAAAAATTAAAAATAGTTCTCATTGTTAAATCACTTACCATATGTACTACTTCAGGGTAAATAGGTTCTGTAATCACATTGCGATTGTGTGTGATGTATTCTACCATTTCACTTAAAGCTGCTCGTTTTACTTCCTTCCACTTTAGGTCACTTAGTGGATCAGAAACAAAGTCAAAAAGTACACAACATTGTCGTAACTTCTGGATAAAAAGCTTTTCTTGATCAGCAGGAGGAACATCTGAAAAATGAAAATAATTGGTTATAAATTATATTGTAGTGGACTTCACTCTTCTCCCCATTTTTACTTCCCGAGATACAAGCATAGCACTGTTTAAGACTACAAGCAAGCTTTCTGAATCTTCAAACAACTTTCGGGAATATAGTGGACTATGAACCCCATATAGGACTATGAACCCCAGTAAAATACACTGTACATGACAGGATGATTTAACAAAATTGCAACAGTGATGCATACTTGCCTTTGCCAGAAATAGATACCGCATGGAAAAAATACATACTTGAAAAAAATGCCACAAGGCATTCCCCAAACAGCTGAGTTTGTGTAAGGAATATTATACCACATCTGCAGAAATACTCTGTTTTTAATATTAAATGGGTAGATCTTCAGTTTCAGCATTAGATTTAAGCCAGAGCCACTTGTTAAACCTGGGACCTGCCACCTCACAAAGTCCGTTTTTCTATCAAGTGCCTCCTACAACACAACAGGCTGCAGTAACCACATCTAGGCACAGAACAACTATGCAAGATTTTTTGAAACTTCTTTAACACAAGAAATATTTAAAGAAACTGGAGCAACGCACTCAGGATCTTCAATTATTTGGTCAATTTGTAACACTATTTTGAATGTTTGTTTCACATGTACAAGAGTTAGACTTGCATTATAAACCTATTTAAGCACTTGCAGGAGGAGTCTGTTAACTGTGGCCAGTACTGCAAAATTAAACCACACTGGCCTTCTAGAAAAGACCATACTTAATCACCGAGATGAATATAAGATATGAAAAAAAATTAACAGTAAATTTAAAAAACAAATTGAGTAAATACCTCGTTTGATATTTACTCGCTGTTTAATCATCACTCAGATGCAGCTGATAAGAAACTATTTTGATTTCTCTTCTGTGATACCTATTAGAAGTATTTCACAGGCTTCAGATATGCTGCGACCAGACTCCCTCATCTTCAATAACAAATAGGAAAAAAAAAAAAAAAGTACTCTTTTGGTAACACTCTATAATTTGTTGTCTGTATCATTGTTATACAGACAATTAACCTTTTGAGACAAGGGTTGCCTTGCCTTACACAGTCTTTGTGCAGTGGTATTTTTATTGTTTGACAAGGTTACCTAGGTTATAAAAAAAAAATTTTAAAGATTTTTTTTTCCCCCTATTCTCACTTCCTGTGCTTTACACCTTAATCCTCCCTGCTGATCCTCTGTAATTCATTATTTAGTGCTTCCATGTAAAGCGAAATTAGATTGCATAGTTCAAACTTCTTATACAGAATCAATAAGCAAGTAAGCCAGCACTACCTTTGCCATCAGTATTTTCCAAAATAATGAACCTTCAAAACATTAAAAATATACTCATATCGATATAAAACCACCAATTATAATTTGAAACTAAAGTAAGCCTAAATCACCTAGAGCAGATATAGATGTAGAAGTTTAGGTTACTGTTAAGAACTAACACTAGACTGCTGTTTATAAACATTAATATGTTGACAAATTAAAAGACTTCCTATGGCTAACATTTCAACAGTTACAGAAGTTATGCCTTTTAAATTCTACAGAGCTTTAGCCTCGATGCCACAAAATTCTGCATGTGCTTTATTTTTCACTTAAGTAATCTCATGAGCAGTTAAGATGTCTAATGCATGTGAAGTTTCAGATCATTATACACAGCAAAAACTTTCAGGATCAGGACCTTAACTTTCAATACTTAGGAAATACTAAAGTAACTGGCCAGAGGCAAAGAAAGCAGTACTGTATTTTGACAGCAGCAAAAATTCATGTGCAATTTAAATGGCCACATAACTACAGCACTAAGCTTAAGACAAGAAATGTGAACACACCACAGAAAGCCTGCGTAAAATAACACTGTAACACATATCATGTTTCTGCATAATGACTTTTTTATTGTTAGATATGAAGTGCTAAGACATTAACAGCATGTTCAAAAACAGAGTAGGACTAGATTGCCTTTAAATATTCCTGCAGTTTACTCCCACTTCTTCCAGTTGATGACTTTTCTTTTTTTAGACTATCATAAAATGCTAAAATTTTCTCAAACACAAGCAGCAAGAGTTACCATCAAACAAAGGATTTCAAGTGGTACTACTGAATACGAGCTCGCAGAACGAACACATGCACATACAATCTAATAAATGAATGTCTGACATATCTACAGTCCAGTTGATTAGTTAAATACAATGAGTTGCTCTCCTTTAAGTGCCTGACAAACTTCTCCTTAAGACAACAAAAACTGGAGCAGTTCTTCCCTCCCCAAGAGAAGCTGCTTTCAAAAGTACTTTTGTTATAATAAACCTGGAGGACATATTTGGTTTAAAACAGCATGCGATTTTTTGTTGAAGTTATGTACACTGAATTGCTCTGAAGATTAATTCCAGAAGAAAACCCTGTAAAGTAATAGCCCTGAAGAACATACAGAATAAAATGCAGAATACATGAAAGAAACCATAACCAGTTACAGACTTCAGCATCACCAAGACACCTGGGAGAGTGAAAACTTCAAGAACTAGAAAGAAGGTGCTAAATGACAGGTGTCCCTAAACAGAGCAACAACCTTCTGGCAAATAAACCAAAATTCCTGTCCCGTGTTGTGAACAAGTTGAGGGTACCTTAAGGCACACAAATTTTGTATCTGAATACGCACGCTTTTGTCTATTTGGATTAAAAACTACACCAATGCATAATTTGTCCTGCAAAAAGAGTATTTAGTTGAGTAGCTTGCGTACTGAAAGCCAGCCGAATTTATGACCTGAATGTACAAAGTCTCAGATGTACCAAGCGGTTGGAGTGGTTACCTTTTCCCAATTAACTGTAAAATGGAAAGTGGTTCAACCTGAAGTGTAACAACACAATTTCACTTAGGGATACTGTGCTATGAATGTATAACTCCACAAAATCCAAAGCCTAAATAGAGACTATAATCATACAACTAATAGACATACAATTACAGTTATTTACAGTACACTAACCTCAAAGAAGAGCTCTAATGACTACTAATCTCTGAAGTTAAAAGACTGACACTTAGGAGGGTCAAGAAACACCCTCAAAAGGCAAGCCACCCCCCTCGCCATTTATTTTGAAGTGGGTTGACTATTTCAAGTACCTCAGTCATGCTTGTTATTTTAGCAGAGATGTTCTTTATAGAGACAGAGAACCTCGCATAATTCTAAGGAACTGTGTTTTGTTTGGTTGGTTTTTTTTTCCCCCTTTAGGGGGGTTCATCAATAACTTTCAGGTGTCCAGACCTCAAATCTCTCGTGGTACTTGTCTGGAGTACTTGCCATCAAATCAAGATCATCCCTACTTTTAAGGTTTGAAAGGTTGATTTCAGTATGACAGAAAATAGAAGGCGGCTAAGAAGCTGACCTGAGTAGACCGTAATTTTTGTGCAGAGAACGTACGCACACCTGCAGAGCAACTCTGAGACGCCCCGAGAAGTCATGTATCCTCGGCCACATACCAAGGACTGTCTGGCTATGTTCTTTCAGTTAACTGCATGGAGACCTCTACATCACCTTCCACTTCAATTAAGTGGTAACCCCCAACTTCCAGTTGCTGAAGTTAACTGACATATTTGAAGAGCGTGCCATTAGGTAAAAATTTCCATAGTTGAGCAACTCTGGTGCTCCATTCCCCAGTGAGCATGGGAAGGCCACGGTTATTCAGAAGCTACTCCTTACAATTATTCCAAAACTGATATTTGGAGCTATTCACTGAGCAATGGTTTTAAAAAAACAAAAAAACCCCAAAAAACCCACAAACAAAACAAAAAAAAAAACCCCCAAAACCCACCCAAAAAACCAAAACACATGAAAAAACCACCATGCCCCCCCCCAGTCAAAACAAAACCACCCACACACACCTCTCCATTTGCTAGCCACTATTTACATCATTTTCACAGAACTAGTTTCTAAATAGTAGCACTAGTATAATCTTAAGACTCTCTATTCAATCCAAACACTTACCCCTATCAGTAATCATACTTCAAATGAGTAGTGTTTCTGGTCTCTTACTGGAACAGGAGCATGGTTTTTCAGAATCACAAAGAATTTCAGTCTTACATTTGGATTAGAAGTCCAGCAATTCCTGACACAGATTTACACAAACAAATACTGTAATGGCATAATTTATGCCTAAATCTGCGTTATTTATCCTACTGTCCTTTTTGTGAGATAGAAAAATACACTAGAAAAAGTATCAAAAGAAGGTAGGTACTACGATAGCAAGGTAAGCTTCTGGGCCTGAGGGATCACCTGTTTGTCTTGTTCAGGTTTTTCAGTTTCTTTCCTTCCAATCCCAGGATAACTGTTAGATCAACTTACACAAACAACCTACAGAGATGCAAACTCTACCCCTTCTACTTTAACAGTACTGGTACAGCAGTAACTATTCAGTTTGAAATCTTCGACATCATCTTAGACTGTGGCCTTGCCACATAAACTTGATAATGAGTATAAAATATGTTTCTTTCCACTGTATAATTGATACCAGCTATGCTTTTATTATTGGACTAAATATACCAGTACCTCACTCTGTGAAAGGCAGCACTTTCAGTCCACACCTCAGTTTGAAACAGCCAGGGAAAGACCAGGTACTCAGCTACTGACTGCCTTAGCAGAACACAGATGATTGGCTGGAAAAGCTAAAATTTAAAAGAGTCGACTTTGTATAAAAACTGATTCCTTGGAAGCGTCAGGTATGTCTTCAGCCGTTCTTACTGTGAGTTAAAGGTAAATGAGCTCACTGCAAACGAACTGTTCACGCTGGTAACTGCCCTCCCTCCAACCCTGCTGGCTTCTCAGCCAGGACGTGGCATATTCTGTTCTACCATTCTGCACCCAGGACAGACTACAGCACCCTGAGAAACCACCATTTTTTTTTAAGGTACAGCACAGCTAAACAATTAAAACGTAGTTATAGTCTAACGAATCAAGATTTTTCCTGTCTTCATATTAAAACAAGTTTTACCT